GTAATCTCAGAGCTTTCCAGTCTTGTCCCTGATCTTGTCAGGACTAAATTATGCATAATTGTGTGTATGGGAATAATCCCACTGAAGATAATAATTGCTCTTTATGAAAATCTACGTGAACAGATGTTTGCAGAAGTATAACATCCGTTTCCTCTGAAAATTTTATTGTTTTTTACACCTTCCAGGTCATTAACAAATACATTGAATACATTTCGTCCTAATCCTGATCCTTATCAGACAGAGTTCCTAGCCATTTTCACTACACTTTATTCATTTTACTGCCATGCAACATTAAAATGTTGTTGTGTAGCTTACTTCTTTTATGACATAGTGTTAAATCTTGTGTCCTGAGGGTCGTCTCCCCAATGGCAGCTGTATTACTTGTGCTGACATTCTGTATAGGTGATAGTTTTATCTTATGTCAGCTTCACGCCAAGAAGGGTGTATATATATGTTAGTGACATTTGCTTTGAATTTTTGAATACAATGGAGAACTCTTGGAAAAGAAATAGGACTATGTTTTCTAAATTAGCATGGTTTTATGCAAGGCAAAGGGGTAATTCATATCACTCCTTCCAAGAATAAGATAGCAGTTATATTTTCTGAAGGTGTTGAAGGATACGCAAAAAATCTCCCGTTGTGTCTTCACCGTTGTCTAGGGATACTTCTGAGGAGCTAATTTTAGAGTGTTAAAATCTTATTTTTTTTATTTCAAACATTTGCAAAAATGTTCTGTACAATAGTGGTCTAATCTGAAGCAACAGTATAGAAGCCTGTAAATTTTTAATAGATGCTTTTTCCTGTGCTGTCATGGAGTATGGAAAGATCCTTGATTTTTTTTTTATTTTTTATTTTTTTGGTAAAGATATCTGACTTCTGTGCTGTGGGGTCAGTTAGACAGAACTCTCCCAAACTGTAATTTCACCTCTATGTCTAAATACTGAGCTGGAAACAGATGGTGTCAAAGCAGCGTCTTTTGACATCTCCATTGTTAAACAGCCTCTTCAATTGCCTGACTTACGTAATCATGCCACCAGCAGGATTATTTAAAGTCATGGGATGTAGTACCAAAATTTGCACTTGAGTTTGTCATAACAGCATCATTATAAGGAATGAGACAGATGAGACTATAGAGACTGGGGCACAATAAACCTGGTTCTTCACTTTCAAATGCACATATAAGAAAACACTGAAGTGAGCAGCCTCATGTAGCTCCACTGGGAACAACTCCCATGACTGAAGTGAAGCTTGCGCTGCAAGGACTCTGATGAAGCAAATTTGAAAGCAAAGCTAATCGGTTTGTAATGCCTCTAAAACCATGAGCTGTCCCATCCGTAGCCTTATTGAGCTATCCTGGTTTTTGCTTTTATGTTTTTAAATCGAAATTTAGAAAACTATTGAGAAAAACAGTAATACAATTCTATACGAAAAACACTTATGGGAATTTTTAAACTTCTGATACTGAATCTTTTATAGAAGAGGTCTGGCTTGTTAGCTGTCATTTAGCTTACTTGCGATGAAATTCTTCACAGGGGTGAAATTGTTCTACAGGATATTTTTTAGGTGTTTTTTATGTCTCATTAAAAAATGTTCATTTCATCTCGCTAATTTCCATTCATTCTTAATTTGGTGTTATTTACTAGTCTTCCAACGCTACGATGTACTTTACTTGTCTCTTTTAGGTCATTTAAATATCCTCATATACAAATTACTCGTCACCCTGCACAGACCATGGTTAATTCCAAGCTGTTTAATCTATAGATCACTTTCCTAGCTTCTTTTCTTTTGAGGCATCTGCTTGCGTTGGATTATGTTTGTTGTCAATCATATTTAGAAGCAAATATGGCAGAGCATTGTAATGTCATCTTTCACCTTGAGCGTTTTTATTAACATTATATTAACATTCTCACAACGTATGACAAAGCCGTTGAGCGCTCACGCCCTGTACACGCACATGCACACTCAGGATGATCTGACTGCTACCACAGTGAAGAAATGCAGGAAACACATGAATATGGAAAGGGAAGCAAGGACTTTATTTTTGCTTTAAGACCTAAAGGGTATCTATGGAGACTGTGAGAAGCACCTAAGAGAGCTGATTAGGTGATTGATTCTTAACGTTTTTAGCAAGAGTTAAGCATCTAGTCGTATTAAACAATTTTGAAAATACCTTTAGGCACCTGTTTTAGGGGCCTAAAATCTTTGCACATATGACTGTAAATTCTAAATCCACTCATCTTCTGAATAAATGGAAAGCCTTCAGTGGGCATTAGGTTGAGTTCAAAGATACCTCTTCTATTTCCAAACATACATTCCAAACAATGTTTACAGCTGTTTATTGGACTGTTGTGCTTTATTGCTTTCTTTTACAGCAAATGACTCCTCATTGGTAAACTCTTCTCTTGAAAGAGTTTTGCATGAAGACTTTATTTTTCCGCTCTTCTGCTGGCTTCTGTGACCTCCTCCCTTGTTGCTTGCCCCTGATTTCCTCTTGGCTGCTTTTTCCTCTCCACCCTGCAGCTCATCTATTGCAATTGTAGCAATTGCATGTTCCTTCCAGTCCTTTTGTCCAGCTCCTGCCTAGTGTAGATTTTTGAAGGGATTTCTTAAAGTTGTATTGCCATGGGTTTCACTAGGCCAGGGAGGTGATGTCTTCACAACTTAAAAAAAATACTTTTCATTAAAACACAATGATAAAATATTCAGAAATAGATTTGAGAGGTAAAATGGTTGTCGAATCGTCTTTCCAGTGAATTTTTCCTATGGATGAGTTATAACATTTATTTAATGTAGTACAAAAGAAATAGTAAATTGCACCAGTACTGATAATTGTTGATACATGTAAGTAAAAATACATAGAAATAAACGTAGTAGTGTTGACTGTACATAATCCACATTTAGAGCACTTTAATTGACTCCTCACTACTACCTCTTACTCAGAAGGTTAAGGTTATTTGAATTAATTGTTCCCTGTGGTGGGGAACACACCTGGCTTGAGTGCATTTACTTAGACTTGCACTTGTGTAGTTGAAAGCAGGATCAAGCCTACGTTATTTTTCTATACACAGCTTCAAATGCTCCTGCCCCTGTCAGCAATGGCAAACCCCCCTAATATAACAGATTTTGTCTTGATAACTCCAACTAGTTCTATGCAATTTCCATTTTGCCTGTTTCTATTTTCATTCCCAGGGCAAATTCTTATTTACTGAAAATAGGATGAGAGCTTAAGCTGAGCTGTTTCTGTCTGATCAGAAGTGTTGAAAGGGGATCAAAGCGCACCATTAGCGTGAAGCCAAGACTGCAGTCCTTGTTGTAGGATATGACTTTGACTTCTATTTTGTTTTGTTATCTCAAAAAAAAAGAAAGCAGCATAGCCAATTAATTACATTCTTTTGATGTAAAAATGGCACTTACTGTCAGATAGACACCTTTGACATCACTTGCCAGTGTGGTGGTTTGCCTTATCTAAACTGCAGATTACATTATTGTCCAGATTGCAATTGCTTCATGATGAACCTGACTTTGCATCATGTTGCTTTCAGAGTTGGTCCTCAGCTAGTTTTCTAATAAATTAGAAGTGAACGAGATAAAATATTCTTGAACTGTTATGTTAAATAAGTAGATGTGTAAAATTCTGTCTTGAAATATGCCCAGAACATTTTTGCCGCTGTTATTTTGCCATGGCTTCTATCACCTGGGATTTTGTGCTCACTGATAAAATGCTACTGTAGGTATACAGTTATAGCCTCAATGAGAAATTGAGCTTTTAACTGTTCAGAATTCTTGGCTTTTAAATCCCAGTGTCCTTGAGAGCTAATAATATAGATCCAAGCTGCTAAAATGTGCTTGCAGTCTTAATTGTGCCAAAAAGAATTTTGTACATGTTTATAAATAGACAATAATTTCTCCAGAAGGTAGGTTAAAAAAATCTTATATTAGCCATGATTTTGTTATGATGGTGTTGTTTGTACAACTTAAAATGGCCAGCAATTGTCTCGCTGATGCATAGTAATTACAATTCTATATGCAGATGTTTCCTTTTCCTTCATTGCTGCAAGAGTCACTCTTTGGAGTTGTATTGTACAACATCCTACTGTGGCTTATAAACAGTATGTCTTTGTATAGCAAGGGACTCCCTTATCTATTAGTGATTATAAATAACATTTCACGTGGGTATTATGTTAAAAGAATAGTTTGGCAAAGGCAAATATTCAAAGATACAGAATGTTGGAATTAAGGTTACATATGCAGCTTTAATTCTGTCCTGTTATGCATCTGCATTGTTACAGAGAATTTAATTGTGTGCTGGCTTACTATTCTTCCATAGGATACATGCTGTATTTACTGTAGGATAGAAGTGGTCTTAGGATGGCTGTTCCATGTAGGGCAGCTGAGGCAGAAGTAATAAAGTGTGTAAATGAGTAATACAGGAGATTACAGTAAGAGAAAGGATCTTTTATTTCTTTAAAGAGCAGTGAGTGCTGCCTTGGAGAATTAAGGGTGGGACCAGGGTCACTGTGTGATGCTGAATGAGTGGCTTAAAACATTTTTTCCTCCATTTTCTGAATGCCTGAAAGCTATGTGCTCAAAAAAGCACATAGTTGGGTTTACAAAAGTTCTGGATCTGCCATTCACCACTAAACTCCCTGTGTGCTGTGGTCTGAACATTAATGACAAATTATTCTAATAATTCTGAAAAACCAGATCCCTAGTATCCTAATTTGAGCTAGGTATCGAAATTGACCTTTTAATCCCAGTTTTTCTCCTGTATAATGAGAAAAATCATTAATATTTATGAAGCAGTCAGATACCACTGTAGTGATGAGCACCACAAAAAAAGCTTCTGAAAAAATTAATAAATCTGTCTTCAGACTAACATCTGTATACTGTGAAATAATTTAAGTCCTGCAGCTGCCTATGGAATAAAGGAGGACCAAACGAAATATTGAACAAGTGTTTATTGACTGGGTGTCACCCATCATTTGCACAAAACACAGGCAAGTTATAGTGGATGCAATAGTATATGACCACATCATTATGATTGTATCATAATATATTAGTGAAGAGGCTGAATTAAGGTTGTATGGTGAAACTTGAATCTGGCATTTGGCAACATTTTAGCATTTGACTGTGCAAGCTTAAGGAAAGCATTTTAGCAGGAACTTTCTGCATTTAATTTCCTAGTGCTGTAAAAAGAGAAACTTAGAAACAAAGTTTTGTTGGGTGGCTCATCAGCAGGTTTTGCCACAGGATTTTCTGCTATTGGAATTAAGAGACTGACGATACTTGTATTCCCCCGTGGGAATCGCGAACCTTGGGCAAGAGGCGTTCCTTCTAGGGGCGTTCTCAGACACTCGCTAAAGGCAGAGTCGAGGCGACATTTTGGTTTCATGCCAGGCTGCTGAGGGAAATGTGCTTTTTTGTGCGCCTTCTTCCCAAGCGTGGCTCTTTCAGGCCTGTCTCCTGCAGCCAGTTCCCGACCTGTCTCTGCCCCCCACTGGCTCCTTTCTCTTGCCTGTTCGGTCACGCATCTCATCTTCACTCCTCTGCTGACTGCAGTCGTTCTCTTGCTTTATCAGTCCTTGTACCGCTCCTCCACGCCGCATCCTCAGCGTAGCCATGCCCAGGCTCGGCTGCTCCTTCATCTCTTTGCTCTGTCCTGCCTCACTGCTGTTTCTCCTGGTGGCCCCTGGTTGCACACGCCGTGCGCCTGCCCTGGCCCCGGTTTGTCTCTGAGCGCCGTCTGCTCACACCTCCTGCCTTCCTCACCCATCAGACAACCAGGGCCGTGTTCAAGACGCTTTGCTGAGGCGAGAAGCAGTTTCATGCCTGCGTGTGAGGCCTGTAGCCCTCCCCTGCTCGGCTCTCTCCAGCGAGGAGGGTCGCCAGTGCCAGCGTTACCCCGCAGGGCCGTTTCCTCCCCCCAGTCTTTGTCCAGCCTGTCGCCCTCCTGAACACTTCAGCTTTTCCGCTCCAGCTCCCTGACCTAGCTTCCAGATCCAGCCAGTCTCAGGGTTTGTCCCTTAATCTGTCAATCCCAGCGTATTTCTCCAGCCCTTTCCTGCAGCGTGCCGGTTCCTGTGTTTGTTCTCTCTCCGTTCGGATCACACGGCTTCTTCCTCTTGCTGGCTAAGCACCACCGCGCAAGGCGCTGGGAGCACAGCAGAAGCAGTCTCCTGGCGGCCTCCTTTGCTCTCCGTTCCTGTTGCCCCCATTGCCACCAGCCTGCAAATGCAGCCAGTAACTGTTAGATGGAAAGATTAGTTTTGGCCCGACATGCACAGGCTGGGAGGATGGCACCCTGCTCCCCAGCAGGAGCGGGAGCTGCCCTGCGGTCGGAGGTAAGAGCTGCGAGGGCGGAGGTTGCACGTCCCTCCGGGGTGGTGGGGCATTGGCCTGGCAGCTGGAGGACCCCGGAGAGCCTGGAGCTCTTGGTTTACCAAGTGCCAAGCCAAAGAGATTTTAGCTGATAAATTCAAACATGGCCTTGTTTATTTGAAAAAAAAAAAACAAACAAACTGGTAAAATCACATTGGTACTTACCAGGATCCTAGAAATAGTTAAATCAAACTGGGCCTGATGCAAGGAGGGTTAGTAGATGGCGGAGACTAACAGATGAGGAGAGATTAAAAGGAGCTGGCTTGCTCAGCGAGGAGAGCAAAACAAGCAGAGAGCAGGTACGATGCAGGCTAGGAACACATCAAGGAAGTAAAAAAGCTGTTCAAGCAAATGAACCAGCATTGCTGCAAAAACAAAAGGCCAGGAATAAACTTCAGGTGGCAACTAGAGGGAAATTATTTCTAATCAAGAGAACATCAGGTTCTGGAGCAGCTTTCTAATCAAAGTAATGAGATCAAAACTCAACTTTTAAGAGCGTTTACTTTATACTCCCTGATGCCAGGGATAGCAGATGATATTTAATATTTCAAAGGCTTATCATTTTGACAAATTTAAACAGATTTTTGACAGAGGTGGCAAAAGGCCTGTGCCTAGCATAAATGATATTCAGATTTGAAGCATCTATTCTAAAGCTGAGAGTCCTCTAAAAAAAGGTCATCAGGCTTATTTTTAGAGTTGACAAAAAATAGTGCATATTTTAATTAGTCTAGATCTCAGGCTTCGGCGTCAGCCTGTGACTGCAAATTTTCAGGAAAATTCAACCCTAGGCAGGGAATATTTTCAACCAAATGTGAGGTTTGGCAACTGAAAACAGATTTTGTAAGAAAAAAAGAAATCTGGCAACTTAATTAACAGTTGTATGATTATAAAAATGTATATTTTCAAATATACATTAATGTTAATGTTGATTAATTGCTAGATCAAGTCTTGTGTTCTAAAACATTGGTTTGAAACAGCCTCCAAAGAACAAACGGATGTTTAATGCCAAAAGAAGAGGCACATATCAGTCAGGAAAGTTAACAGTTGTCATTAAAAGCATAATATCAATACAAGTGTTTTAGATTTTCATTATGTCATTTTTAAATTTTTTCTAAGCCCTTTTATTTTTTTTCCTTGAAAATGACCTGTGCACATCAGAGGTTAGAAAACTATGTAAATCTTCAGTTTGCTCTTTTCTGTCCAAAGTACTTTGATGATCAGATATACCTTTTATAGCAGGAGTAATTTGATTTGCTATTAAGAATATATATATATAATCTACAATGAGTGGTTTAGATAGCTGAGAAAAGTATTTGAAGGTAGATGATTTCTTACTCTGGGATCTTTCTCTATTGCATTCATTGGCCTTCTGGGTTTAGTGAGCAGATAAAACTCTGTGCCCTCCTCACACCTTAGTCGTTCACCTTTGTGTCTGGCATACTAGGGGGATCTGAAAGGATGGAAGATAGCTTCAATTAAAAGATTAATACAAAATTTGTTGTCAAGCAGCGGGAAATTTTTGCAACAGCTATACACAGATGTTATCTATCTGAGGTGTAAGCTTTTCTTTTACAAAAATAATTCACAATCTTGAGACCGTGAAACCCTGACAGTTTAGATTACTTCCCATATTAATATCTATGTAGCATTAACTTTGAAACAAGTAATGATAATTAAAATGGAAGCAACATTTCTATCTTACTGATGATTTTAGCATAAAACTCAACTAAATTACCTTTTCCTACTGCTGTAGCTTCCCAGATGATCAGAGCTCAAAATATTATTTTCCCATCTGCAAAACCTTTCGTACCTTTCTGTCTACTTCTATAATGTAGGTATGGTATTTCAAGATTAAATACTGCAATTCATCTTGAAAATCTGAATACAGGAAGTATAAAACGGCTAAAATATGGAATTAACATCAGGGATGTCATGCTGATTCATTTTCAGGTTACGTTCAGTAAGAAACTGCATTTTTGTTAGCACAGTTTTACCAAGCAGCTCTTCGAGAGAACCGATGGGTTTGACACAACATGGCCAGTTTTAACTGTATGCATTTGGTCCCATTTATAAACAGGTCTTAGTTACCCAGCATGAAGTATGCCTTGCTTTCCAATCCCTTCATCAGAACAACAAAAATCAACAAGCAGATTTTCCTTGCTCAGCAACATTCTGTAAACGCACTCAGGAGAACATTTTTCTGCCTTATTTTTCCTCTTACGGTGGTCATCTTGGTTGGTGGAAGTTGCTAAGATCTGTGGAGATATCTTGGCAGTACTTCATCCCATCTGCTCATCTCCCAGTTAACAGGTACACACGTAGACTCTGTCAACTTTTTGCTCTTAAAAAGAGATCACTGATACCTGAAGTAAATGAAACTGCCACTCTGCTTTCTGTGGACATGTCACTGATTTCTTTTCTTAGAGAGCAGCTGCTAGAAGACGGTGTCACTTCAGACCAATAAGTACTTGATATTTTATATTATCTATGCAGTAGAGAGAGGTGGTACCCAAGCCAAATAATTTCATGTACTGTTCATTAAAGTTTTTGCTGCCTCCATTGCAGATGACTTGTCCAGGAACTATTTCAATATTTTACCCAATTACTGCTTAATGAAAAACGTATAAATGGTCAGGGATCAGCATCCAGCTCTTTCTTCTCTCCGGAGAGACCCTGCTTGCCCTGGTGCAGAATGCTACACTTGCTCCCTCTTTCTCATCTTGCACCAAGATAGGCTGAATCCTTTTTAAACTGGTGTCACTTTAGCAAGAGGTCCTCACAGAATAGGTCTCCAGGCTGGTTGCCAGGAGGTGAAGGTCTGAGCCTAGGTTTTAAACTTCTTAACACACTAAGGACAGGGCAAACAGTTTCTTCTCTTCTTTTATGGTTCAAAACAAAACAGTAGTGTCTGCTCTGCTATGAAGAAGACTGAGGTCCATTTCAAGAGAAGGTTTTGGGGTGTGTTATTTCCCTGAAGAATGAGATACTGGATCATCCTGAGTCATCATGCTTTTCTGATAACTTTGTTCCTACCAAAAACTCAATTTTGCATCACTTGACTTTTAGATGTGTAACTGGAGAGTTACCTAACGAGCACGGTTCAATGTTACAAACTGTACTGCAATGTCCAAGTACATATACGAATCTGGCCTTTTGTCCATTTTGAGTGTCGTGCCCATTTTGTGAAAGTTGCCTCCTTAAGATCGTTTTCAAAATAGAGGAATGGTAGAAGTTGACCTGCTAGCACACAGAAAAGACCCCATCTTCTTTAAAAAGCCCATGAAAATATCTGAATTTGCCTGTTAATGGTTTTCTAACTACAATCAGAGGGTCAGAATGCATGTTATGCATGTGATGCAATCAACACTGAGTGCTCATTTCCATCCTCTTTTGCCTTTAGACAGAAAGACAGAATGTAAATTGTCTCTACAAAGCAGTAAATTGCCTCAGTGTTTGAAAAGCTTAAGGGTTCACAGTGGTAGTTTAACACAGATTCAGACCCTTGATGCTCATGAGTTTAAGATTTAGTGTATTTGCCTACCAGCTTTTTCCGTCTTGCTTTATGACGTTAAGTACAAACGCAGAAAGTCTGTAGTTACGTTTGTATATCCTGTTAATATATATAGTATCCTGGTAGGCACTCTCAGGTATGGATGTTCTCGTAAATGACTGGCACAGAACCAGGGAAGAATTTTCACATACCATGGCTCAGTCCTTAATAGTGGAAGGTGCTTTTATTTCTTTTTCTTTTTTTTTTTTAAGCATAGCAGTTGGTTGAACATTGCCCTTGTTTGTAGCTCTCATTTTTGTCTTTTTTCAATTGTGGTAATTCCTGAAAACATGCAGTCCCAAGGGGCTCACACAGCCTGATTATATACATTGAATGTTTTGTATTCTGCATTGCATTATCATATAATCAGGTTAAAGTGGTAAAGAGTTATTAATGGAAAAATTCAGTCACTCTTGGTTTTCTTATATTTATTAAGTGATTTTATTTAAAAAAAGGATCCACATACTATCATTCCATCTGAGACGTTAGAGAAGGACAAAAACAACATATTATACTCAACCAATATTCTTAAATTAAGAAATATGTTGTTGAAATACATTCAGTTCAGTAAAATTCAGTTTAGTAAAATTCAAACACTGATGCTGATTTCACACATCTCACAATCATTTTTATTTTATGTCTTTATTTCTGTTCATGTTTATCCATTGCCCCCCATGCACTTAGGAAAATGTGTTCTGGGAATTCTGAGTTAGTTCCTTATAAGTGACATCTAAGCAGCTAAATTGAAAATTTAATCTCAGTCAGGAACATGAGGCAATGTTGAGCTGTACTGCCCAAAAGTTTCCCAGCATGACTCACAGCAGTAGAAAGTTTTCTCAGTGATGAGATGTGAATGTGCAAGAAGCCTATAACACCTGCTATTTTATTAGCTTGCAGGTGGTCAGCAAAATCTCAGCATGTGTCATAAGCGAAAGTTGGGGAGTTTTTGCAATATGACAATAATTCCGTATCAGCCTCTTGGTGCCTTTTGCCCTCTGGATTGCCTGACAGAGTTTAAAAACTGATCTCTGCTAATGCTTCTCCCTTGAGGAATGACAGTGCAGAACTCGCTCGCCTTCTTGAGGCTCTCAGGTCCTATTTAGGTGTGGCGGATCTGATGCACAGCGCTGCTGCGCGCCAGCTTCGCTCTCCCTCCTTGGGTAGCTGATGGTGCTGTGGCTTTTCCGTCTATGGGAGAAATATCCAGAACCCAGACGGATTACAGGCGAGACGAGACACCGAACCTGATGCTGTGGTGGTGTGCAGTGGTACGCTCTCAAGCGAAGCAACAGTCCACCCTGCGCCGGAGCGCTGCACGCCACCTCCAGCGCCACGTCCTCCCACCTGACCCTCGGCCGTGCCCTACCCATGACTCACAGTCCGTCCTTCCTTCCCCCCTCAGAAGAAAACATGGTTTGATACCTGGCCAAATCCCTCTTACAAGAAGTATACTAATACTTCTTTGACATCATCCTCGTTACTGAAAAACATTTTCCTTTTGCAGCACGGTGGCAGGCCTGGCTCTCAGACAGCTGCTGCAAGTCACCGGACTACAGAGAAACCTCTAGATACTGGCAGAAATGAGTTTTGCTCTCCTAAACGCCTGCCGGGGTAATGACTTTCCCTCCCGAGAAGCAGCAGTGAGGCTTGCGTGTGCAGTTTGCACCCCCCTGTGGTACCGATGGTGAAATTATCCATTAAGTTTAATCTTGTACCTCAGATGCAGACAAACTCCTCTTAGATTTGCTTATCCATGACCAATAGGCTTTGGTGTACAAGATGTTACATGCATAAATACTATGCAAATTCAGCAGGTCACCACTGACCAGTGATGGAGACTGCAGATAAGTCTTTAGTCTAATGACTACGAGGAATGCTTAATCAGAGGTATAGAATAAGCAGCTATGTATCTGGGCTGTGACCTTATGGGCCTTCAAGCTAAGCAGGATCAAGCCCTGACCCTCATTAAGTCTCAGAGTAAGCTAGGTAAGGAGGTGCCTGATCAATATTTTAACAGATATATAAGACAGCTCACTCATTTGACCAAAACAGTATTGTGTATTATTCGCAATTACTGTTTTTCACTTGCATACCGTGATGTGCTTTATAGAAAAATAACAGAAGTGACTTACATATCTTGATTTTAACAGAATGTAACAGATTTTTTCACATAGCGGCCTAACCAGCCAGGAACCCCTTTTAGGATATTATAAACGTTCTGATTTTTTTAATCAGTTAATATGTTGCTATAATCATGAAATGTTTGTTTGGGACTTACTGCTATGGCATGGAAAATGTGTTTGCCAGGAACAAACAATCCAGTGGAACGAGTGTTAAGCATGTTGCGAGCAGTGGCTGCGCAGAAGAGAGTAATTACAGACTTATCAAAGCTATTAATTTATTCAAATAGAGCAAAGCTGTTGCTCAGTTGTAGGTGTCTTTGGAATAGCAAAGTCCAGACTGTTAAAAATACTTAGGCGTTTAATAGGGTCTGTTGGAAAGTATCTCCGCACTCAAAAAATGTAGATTGTAATTAAGTTCGAAGTTGGCATTAGTATGATTTCTTAAATGTAAGTTTGCTAAATTTTGCTATTATGAAAAACTCCTTTCCAAGCATCCTACCTTTTTCTGAAAATGAGATAACAGGTTTCCTGAAGAGCTAATAAGCTACAGTGGTTTTCGTTCATTTATTTTGTTAATATATGCATGAAGTAAGATAGAAGGGACAACTTAAAAGACAGCTAATCAGAATACATGTGGATACCACAGATTGCTCTACCTCTGCCTGTTCAGTTTAATTTCTCAAAAATATGGGAGCTCAGGATCTTCTCACATGGCTTATCTTCCATTATGGTAGCACAGCTAACCAGGAGGACAGTTAGTCTTTC